ACAATAAATTTGGTCTCCGTTTGAGGTGTTTCTAAAGGTTTTGATGAAAATTATTATTAAATAATAATTATTAAAACTTCATTAAAGTAACATGAGCAGTTAAATGAAAAGACGGGTTATTTATATGGAAAATGGTTCCAATTTAAATGCGTGCTTGAGATATTATAAGCTGTCCATTTGGGAATGACGGCCATGGGAAAATGTTCTGCATAAAAGTGCCGCTAGAAAAGTCGTTGTTACTGATGTAACCCCAGTTCTATGAGTATGTGTATGCCCCAATGGGCTTCAGGGAGTTCTGTAGGGCAACAAGAGGCAAGAGACCCTTTGCTTTCATCCTTGGCAATAACAAACATATAGTAATATGGACTAGAGTAACCAAACCTCTAACTGAAAACGATCAAAGTAGTAACAGCAATAGGAGGTCAAGCAGCAAAATCAATGTCTGACAAACGAGGCTGGTAGCACCAAAACCTGCAGCTCAGGCTGGTTCCTGTAGGAAGTCTCTATAGACTCCAGTGTTAAAGGGCCCAAATTTACAGCAGAAATAAATATGTTTACAAGCCTGGCATTTGTTATAATTGTCATATTTTATTAGAACTTTAATAGGATTTTGTACTTTGTATTGTCGGACAAGACCGGGGGAAAAAGGAAAAAGTGATGGTGCAGACGACCCACAGCTGCCGTCAGCACAGCCCCTCAATGTTTAACTAGTTCATCGAATAATCTGAAACTCTTTAGAAAGAGTTTATTAATGTCGTTTTCTCAGAGAAAGTGGTTTTTCCTGAAGAAAAAGTAACACATCATCCAAATATAGATTTATTATTACTTATCTACGTTCTTGCATTTTATGCTAACAGTGAAGGGGAGAATAGCCATCTCTGCCTGGTGCCCCTTTGAAGACAGAAGCTGGAGGATGTTCTGCATCTAGAGACAATATTGTAGTTTCAGTGTTTTTACTACATGAATAGTCTATCAGATTAAGTAATCTAGGTGTACTTGTTGATAAGTGCCTACCTTTTATGAGACCGGTTTGGTCAGGATGTATTATGAGGGGGGTTATGTCTCTAATCTCTTTGAGAGTGCTGTCCAGACTCTTTTAAGGTCAACGTTAATAAAGGGTTTGGGCGACAGCTGGTGGGAAATACAGGGTCTTTGCCTGGTTTTAGCAGGAGACTAGTGTTGGCAGAATTTATATTTGGTGGTAGTCTGCCATGTTCCTTGATTTCCTGCGATGTTCTGCAGAATACTGCTACCAGAATTTTCCAGAATAGACCTCTGCTAGAAATCCATCTGCACCTGGAGCCTTATTATTGGGCATACTTTTCAGGGCTTCCTGGAGTTCACCTGATGTCAGCAGTGAGTCCAGTGCTAGTGTTTGATCTGATGATTTCAGAAGCGTTATGTTGTCAAGAAAGTGATCGATTTTGTTTTTAGATGGGTTTGTCTCTGGTGAATATAAGGATTTGTAAATGTCCCTGAAAGTGTTGTTTATTGTTTCAGGGTCATATTGTTACAGTCTGGCTGAAGCTGACTATGTGGAGCGAGAAGGAGGACCCAAGTGCAGACACGCAAAACGAAACTTTGATTTAACTAAGTACGAGCTGCTTATTTAAGGCTGGTTGAACAATACAAAAATAAAAGGGCAAAGGCGAAACTAAACAATAACCTAGACTGGGTGAACTAAGATTAAACATGGAAAAATAACCTTAACGTGAACATCTGGCATGGATACATGAAAAACCCAGAAACATGACATGAACATAGCAGATGACCAGACAAGGAATGAATGAAAACACACACAAGCAAAGAGGCCCAGACCTCCCTCTCCCCAGCCACCTCCTCCAGCTTATCCGGGGGAACACCAAGGCGTTCCCAGGCCAGCCGAGAGATATAATCTCTCCAGCGT